CCCCCCGGGACGGCCGGGAGTCTCGGCAGCAGAGGATGGAGCGGAAAAAGTCGCCGGCGGCGCAGGCCAAGAGCAAGGGAGACGAGCGGAAGGCCCGGATGCACGAGCGCATCGTCAAGGTGTGGGAGCCGCGCGCTCGGCCGGCCGGCGTGGTGCTGCCAGCCCCGCCGCGGCCCGGCTCAGCCTCCGCTTTCCCTTCCAGCAATACCAGGACACCATCCGGGCGCACAAAGCAGGGAAAACGGTGGATTTCTCGGAGTTGCCCGTTCCGCCAGGTACTTTCCCCGTCCCTTTCGCGGCGAGCGCGTCTCGGGGCCGTTTCCCAAAGCCGGCGCGCCACGGGGAGGAAGATTCGGACCCCTCCAGCCCAGCGAGGCGGGGGAGCCTTTGCTACCGCCCAGCCTTTCCCCCTTTGCGCCCCCCTTGGCCAGGCTTCCAGCCCATCCAGGGCGCGGAGACGCCGGCCGGAGACCAAAGCATCGCCGGAGTGCTGGAAACGGCCATGAAGCTGGCCAGCCAGGAGGTCCAGGAGGAGGAGGACGGCGCTGAGGAGGCGAAGGTCGGGGGTTTTGGGGGCTCGGGACTCCCCCTGCTGCCATAGGAACCCAAAATGGGGAGCAGGGAGGGCTCTCGAGGGGACGCCCGGCCCCCTGCGCCCGAGGGGCGGACGTTTGGCGTTCTTCCTCCCGCGGTCCCCTCTGACGCCGTCCCTTCTGTCCCCGGCACAGCCTGCTGCCCGCCCGGCCCCGGTGAGAGCCTCCGGCACCTCCCCGCCAGCCGCCGCCACCTCCCAGCCCAAGCAGCCGCCGCCGCCTGCCCGAGCGCCCTCCGCGGGCGCCCCGAATTCTGCCGGCATGGCCAAAACAGCCCCCAAAACCATGGCGAAAGGTACCGTCCTGACCGAACGCCGCGTCCGGCCGCGCTGGGGGGCAAGAGGAGCCCCCCGGGAGGCTCAGCCCCGCTCTCGCCCCGCAGCCCAGCAGCAGCTGGCGTTCCTGGAGGGCAGGAGGAGGCAGCTGATGCAGGCCGCCCTCCGCGCCAAGCAGAAAAACGACATCGAGGGGGCGAAGCTCTTCCTGCGCCAGGCCAAAGGGCTGGACCCCATGATCGAGGCCTCGCAGAACGGCCTGCCCGTCGATATAACCAAGGTCAGGGTTTGGTTATTTCTTTATGTTTGTGACCCGGGCGGGCTCCTCGCGTCACGGATCCCATCCCTTCCCTCCGCTCCAGGTCCCCGAAGCCCCCGTGAACAAGGAGGATTTTGTGCTGGTGCAGCGGCGAGGGGTGCACATCTCCCCCGAGGCAGCCAGCCAGTACCTGGAGCTGATGAAGCTGATCAGGCAGCAGCACGAGGTAGCGGGGCCCGAGGGATGTAACCCCAAAACAGGGCGGCTTTGGCCGCGGCTGGGGAGAGATCGAGAACGAGGGGGGCAGGACGCGGCGTGGGGCTGCGTGAAGTGCGCGGTGAAGGAGGGGAGACCCGGCGGGGTCTTCCTCGCTGTAGGTGAGGAAGGCAGGGTAGCGAGGAGGGAGGAAACGAGCTGCTTCCCTCCCCAAGGAGGGGTTGAGAAGCTGCGGCTTTAAATCTCGGCCTAAATCTGGGCCGAAGCAGAGTTTTCTGCTGGAGAAGAAACCTCCAGGCCAGAGCGGGACGCTGGGGAAGGGGGCGATGCCTCTGGGCTTTGAAAACCCGACGCCGAGGTGTCCGGGCAGCACCAGGTCAGGCGGATCCGGCGTTGGGGCTGCCGCGGGCGGCCGGCAAGCTCTGCTCCTCCGGGGCCGGCCGGGCCGGGGGGGCGG